GCAGTGAGAGGTTTCATCAGAGACAGAGTGGGGAGCAGAACAGACAGGTCGAGTGAAGTACACTGCTGAGGGGAGCAGTGGGCGGATCAGGAGAGGTCTGCTGTACCATGTGGGTCACCCCCGGGGCCAGGGACCGAACTCGCACTGAAGCGGCTGCAGCTAGCTTATAGTGCCATGTTGTAACTCAATGCACCACCAGGGAGGGCCAGAGTGTGGTGATTCTGGGAGCAATTTTGATGCCTATCTTACATGTTTTATCAATAATTCAGTAAAGTTTCATCAACCTAATGAGCCTGAGCAAATCTCTTGACCTGAATTTTAGCTTTGTTTGAAATCTCTGTTTTATCTTTTTGGAGGATGAAAAAGTTAAATAAATATGGCAGTGTTAGGTGAGCTGTCAGGTACTAGACAGAGGATGTGCTATGATACGGCTGTGACAGGTTTTTTCTTATGAATTTCCAGTAGCTGGTTAACTGGATTTGGAGGCGAAAGCTGGTCTGGTTGGGAGTAAGTACCAGATATGAAGTATAAAGAGCAAAGCCATCGCACTCCCTTTCTGGTTATATGAGCTAAGTTACTGAAAAGTGAATCCTAAAGCCACCTGGGTCTGCGTTCCCTTGCAATGAGGGCGAAGTGGGCACGTATCTTAGGGCACCTGGTTCATCTTGGGTGCTTTTCTGGTGTTGAGAGTTTGCCTCCAGGGGTAAGAGAGGTCAGAGGAATCAAAATGTTTGCGAGCAGGAAGCATATGGGGAGGAAAAAGCAAGCTGAGGCCTGTGTAACCTGAGCAAGTCCTGGAACAGCTTGAGCCCCAAGACCTCAAATGTGATGGGGAAGAATAATCATGATAATGGCAATATCTTTAAAGCTCTCTTAGAGTGATTAGAAGGGCTGAAAGTGAGATTTCCCAGACATGTAATAAGGGCTCAAAAAATTCACTTATTCACCCCACCAAGCTTGGAGTTGTACCAATGACAGTTCTCATTTTTAAAAAATAGTGTAAACTGGGTCCTCCCTGGTGGTGCAGGGGGTTAAAGCACAGCACTAAGAAGCTAAAGCCACTTCAGCATGCGTTGGATCCCCGCCTGCCGCAAAGGTGACCCACATGCAGACCTCTCCTGACCCGCCCGCTGCTCCCCTTAGCAGTGTACTTCGTCAGCCTGCCTATTCTGCTCCCCTTTCTGTCTCTGGGGAATGCTCTCACCACTCCTGCACCTCTGGCTTGTACCCAGTTCTGTATGCTTAAATAAATCAATCTTTTAAAAAAAAAATAGTGTAAACCATGTCTAGCTCTAGATTATAGTGCCTACGATGCTCTTTCAGCAAGGGTAGTGGCTCATACAAACCTGTAGTCTCTTTGTTCTGGCTGCCTGATGAATAATGAGGCAGGGCTAGAGATTAAGGGAGATGGAGGAGGAAAGGAGAGTGCCAGCACTGGTGAGAAAGGCGAAAATGATGTAGGACCAAACGGTGACACACATTCTAGCAACGTCAATAAGATAAAGGCTTTCTTCCCACACCCTGGCCTGGTCTTCCTTTCTGTTGATACTTTTGTGAAGGGGAAGCTCACTCGGAGGAGGAGACATCTTCCCGCAGCCCCTCCCAGATCACCAGGCCTGACATTATCCATCCCTGCTACGAGGATGGAGGTGGATTATACTAGTGACAACACCTAGCGTGTCCTGGACTTTGACTGTAATTCCCCAGTGATTCCCCAGTCCTTGGGGCATATTCTGAAGCTCCAGAAAGCCCCTTAGTAAGTATAGAAGCAGGATTTGAACCCTGGTGCTCAACATCTCGGCCCCTTTCAGCTCTAAACTCCTGTGCCCTGGGGTCGGGCTTGCTGATATCCCAGCCAGTGCTGCCGTAGATGGACGCCTCTCAGAAACGGCTGTGTCGGCGGTCGGTTTTACTGGTACATCTGGTGCAGGGACTGGGGTATATACTTGGTCATTAACTTCTGAGAGCTTAGTGAGTAAGAAAAGTGGGTTTCTGACAGGTTTTTCTGTTAGAGACTTGTTGAAAGGTTGCCCTGCAGAACAGTAGCAGAGCAAGTAGAACAGAAGCCTGCCAGCGGCCCAGAGGTGAGCATCCCTGCTGCCTCAGACACTGAGGGCTCAGGAGACCTGGACAGAGGTGATGTTTCCTTTCCTGCCCCACACCCCTGCGAGGTCATGGTAACTGGGCAAGCCTGTTAGAACTACTAGTCAGGTTTCCATTAACACATTTTCCCAGGGGCTGTCTTTTCCCCAGTGTTGGGGATTGCACCCTCGTTTGGGCCACTCTGCTTTTCCTCCTCCATACAGCTTACAGAACTTAACCCTCTGATAGTTAAACCTCTGCAAAGATCCCCTTCTGATACAGCTGAGGTCGCCCAGCAGTCTCAGAGTTAGGTGCCCGAGGGTTTTCTGGACCTGGACGTTTAAGTCAGCCAATGAGTCTGCAATTGGACATATCCTTGTTGCATTTGAGGATGGATGCATTTGTCTCAAACTTTTATTTTTTTATTATGAAATACTCCAGTCATGCATTCTGGTGGCTGGAAGAGTAAATTAATAGTAGTCTCATCACCCTGGAGACACAGCTGCTTCTGTGAGCTGGCGCTGAGGTAAGGCTGCGCGTCTCTGTGGGAATGACAAGTGAATGAGTCCGCTGCTCACTTAACCTGCTGTTCTTTTCTCTCCCTATTTTCTCTCCTAGGAAACAGATGGAGGACTGCTGTGACCCCGCCCATCTCTTTGCAATGACTAAAATGAATTCCCCCATGGGGAAGAGCATGTGGTATGATGGGGAGTTTTTGTACTCATTCACCATCGACAATTCAACCTATTCTCTTTTCCCCCAGGTTAGTATAGAGTTTGTTTGCTTCTCAGTATCGTTTATTATGTGTCTTGATATGACAGGAAAGGGGTCATTGAGTTCATCTCACTCATCAGATCTACTTCCCTCTTTCTTCTCATCTTCATTTTAACAGTTTTTCTTTTGAGGTGTCATTTTCCTGAAGAATTCACACAATGTCTTGATGCAAGGGCAGAAGGGGGATATTACAGAGTTGTATCTCTGCTGGATCCTCTGACTTGAGTCCTGTGACACTGAAGGAGGCAAGCGGAGGATAGTGGGGCGGCTGGGGAATTCCCTTTTTGAGGTTGGCTGTGGGATGCTTTCAAAGATTCGTGACCCCGGAATGTTTTCTTAGCGCTCCTATCACCCTTAGGGGTGGGGGCCATATGGTCAGAAGGTGGCTTCTGAGAGCTCTTGACTCTATACCCTGTGGCCAGGCTAGGAAGTGGAATAAGGAGAGAAATAACTTAACTTTTGAAATGGTCTACACCAATCTTTGCAGGGTTTGACTGGAAATATATCTGTGCCACAAATGGAGAAAAAAGGACCCATTATTTCTAGGGAGAACTTTTTGGTGCAGGGGATGGATCTCAGAGGGGAAATTGTCATCGGGGAATTGAGAAATGAGTGTTGGCCTTCCAGAGCACTTTGACCTCTCGTTGGGCCAGTGATAGTGCAGAGAGAGAATTACTGGTGAGAACTAGAAAACGAGGTGGCACCGTCCATATATCTATATAAATGGCACAGACCCTGTAAAGTTGAGGCACAGAATTCCAAGCCTAGAGTCACATTCTCAAAACAGATTGCTAAAACAAACTCAAAACACCCAGCGTTACCTTCTTCTCTCCCCCCCCACCACAAAAGCAAAAGAACAAAACACACACACACAACACAAACTCCCAATTTGCTAAGCTGTTTTAGTTTAATTTAATGGTTTTAGAGGATGATGATGTTTATTTTTTATTCTGAATGGAAAATAGTTTACTTCACTGCCAGCATTCATTTTCTCTCTTTTTCGTTTGCCCTTTGGAAGCTTCCTCATGTCAAAGGAAATGACTAAAAGTAGTAAGGTAGAATTAAAGGTTCTCTCCACCTCTGACTAAATGAACACCTTGATAAATCCATCAGCTCTTCTTTGATTCCGGCCTTCTTATCCATCCTGCCATCTCACTGAATTGCGTGAGGGTCACTCTAGATAAGATGTCCCCCATGTCCTTTGTAAACCACAAAGCATTGGAAATGCCCGGTGTTAACGTCACCCTGCTGACCTTGGACCTTCAGAGTGGGGAGGGAAGCCTATGATTGCATCTGTCAGGGTTCAGTCAAGGAAATCTTCCTACGTATTTCTGGCTGAGACACATTTTTACGTTGGGAATTAGGTGCTTAAAAAATCAGTAGGAGATGGAGAAGTGGAAACCATGAGGTGACTTGGGATTACTGAATTTAAAAACCTACTTTTCTACAGGGCTAGGAATATGGGTCCAACCCTCCACCTCCTCCTCACTTCACTCAAGTGCATCCAGCGATAAGATTCAGTTCCCCCTAGAACACTAATGCAAGGAAGTCCAGGAAAGTCTTTTTAAACTATCAGGTTTTAGCAGGAAGCATTCTCCTTTGATAGCTCATCAAGCAGAAACTTTTTTTCTCTTTTTTTTTTATTATTATAGTTTATTTTTACACCATTTTGTACCTTTTTCCATCTCATTCATAATCCCTGTGGACTTCCTTTCCGTCACCAATTCACCTGTGTGCATCACCATAGTCCCATGCACCCCCTACCCCCATTTTTTATCCCATTCCCCACTCCACCCCCATAAAATGTTCATTATTATTACTGTTTTCCCCCCTAGTCCTTTATGCTCCTGTCATCAAGCAGAAGAATTTTTAAAGAAATCCAAGATATGTTTTTGTAAATGAGGGCTTTCAGTCACACCAATTGACTTTTCATATTGCACTAGAAAATATATGGCAAGAAAACAGTTGATCGATGAATACACACTAGTCTTCCATCTTCTCTGTCAGTTGCAGTAGTACACACCATTTTCTTGGAAGGAGTGTGCCCATGAATTCTTTGGCTCTTTAGGCACATTGCAAGATCAAGGAACCATCTCTGACTAATAAAGGAAAAATATGTTCTAGAAGTCATTACGTCGTTGTGTGTGTATAGTCTTTTGTCCGAACCAAATGAACGAATAGATTTTTTTCAAAGGGTACTTGTGTATATTACAGCTGAGATTCTGAAATGACTCAGTAGTTAATAGGAGTCAGTATATATCACTAAAAGGGTGGTGTCCACCCCCCGTGGCTTCACTTCATTATTACCTCTTGGTGAGCTATTTCTAGTTTATTACCACAAATCTAAGTTGCTGGTCAGTTGAGTGCTTCATGTCCCCTGTGGGAAGGAGGCCTCGTGTGTGTCCCCTCAGGCAGACATGCTGGCAAGTGGGCTCTGTGTTGTCATTCCAACAAAGCATCCCTCCGTCCCCTGAGTGTTAGCCATATCATTTTTGCTGTTTTTCTTTTGTTTTCGTATCTCTACTGTTTCTGTGGCCAAGATGCAATATAACATGTTCCCTGCGTTGTGGGAAGGCGACAGGTCTGGGATCAGGGCTCTGTCTACCCAGGAGGGGCCTGTGAGATGCCGTGCACCTTGAGAAATTGCTTTGAGTCTCCTTAACTACAATGAGATGCTGCCACAGTGGATCGTCCACAACTTCCTTTAGATTTATTATCAAATTGAGTCCATCCTGGCACATGCAGAGATGTGTAACCACGTGCCTGTGTACCCTATTACTTATGTATCTCTGTGTCCACATATTGCTAACTGTCTTATCTGCTGACCTCAATGGCACCTTGTGAGCTGTGAGAACAAGAAGTGTTTCCTATTTGGCTGGTGCTATTGCCCTGTATGCTTGCCAGTTGCTCCCTGTCTCTGACCCACGTGGGCTGAGCCACCACAGTGCCCTTGCTTGTACTGTAAGAGAGAAAGCAGGATGCTTTGATGCAGCTCTTTCCAGGTGGCCCTACAAATGTATTTAGTTGAAATAATTTTTTAATATTATTTGGTATGAAAGGCCAAATTTTAATCCTTACATACATAATCTGTGCAGTCTGTGTGTATGCGTGTGTGTGCATGTGTGTGCGTGTGTGTGCAGGGGACAGGGTGATGGTGCACTTTGAGAATGCCTCATTTCCTGGCCTGGGTTTAGCTTCATGTTGCTTAGCCAGTGACCGTCCCTTTAAACCTGTATTGTCCCTTGTTTGTGCTATTACTAAATATTTCTGTTTTGTCCTACACATATTTATGTATAGAAGGAGCATACACTTCTTTGGAAATGAGCAGGGGAACATCAAGAATGAGTCATGACTGTGCTGTTATCATCTGAAAAAAAAAATAACCTGGTCACCATAAGTTCCCCGAAATTTTTCACTCAGCTGCACCCACTGTACCCTTAGCTGGTGGGAAGCCCAGCAAGACATCTTGAAACAGTTTCATGAAAATGAAAATGCTCAGTTCTCCCTCTTCACTTGTTTGTGCAGGATCCTCTGAGCTCCTGGAGATCCCTTAGCTTTGCAGCTCACCCCCACCCCTGCCTTTTTTCTCTTCCAGTGAGAGTTGGATGGTGCTTTATCATCTCCAGCGTTTGATAGCTTACCTTTCTGTAAATATTACTATGCTGTAATCACTTTCTCAAACACACCTTGACATGAGGGAAGCTAATGGCCCATATTGAAAAGACCAGAAGCAACAAGTGTTGGTGAGGATGTGGAGAAAAAGCAGCCCTGGAACATAGTGTCAGTATAGATTAGTTTAGCTCCCATGAAAAAACAATATGGAGGTTCCTCCAAATATTAGAAATAGATGTATCATATGATACAGCAGTTCCGTTTCTTGGTATTTATCCTAAGAATGCAAACACTCTAACTTGCAATGAGGTATGCACTTTTATGTTCAGCATTATTTACAAAAGCCAAATTATGGAAACCATGTAAGTCTTTAAAACAGATGAGTAGATCAGGAAGATATGGTGCATGCACACAGGGAAATGCTCCTCAGCTATTAAAGAAGATGAACTTTTGCCCATTGCAACGTGGATGGAACTGGAGGGGATTATGCTAAGCAAATAAAATAAGTCAGAAAGAGACAAATACTGGATCCTTTCACTCATATGTGCAATGTAGAGAAGCAAATGAACAGACAAAACTAAATCAGAACAAACCCTAAAAATATGGCGGTAGAGTTGAGACTACTGGGGGGGGGGCACGGAGTGGGAAGGGGTCCAGTGGCTGGTGGTTCCCATTATAAGATCATATCTCTTCAGATGTGTTTTACCAAACCACACCCACCAGCAAGGCACCAGTAATGCTTAATCCTAATCCATTTGGCCCCCCGCCCCTTCTACAAAACTGTTCCTCACTGGTTGTCTCAAATTTAGAGTCAGATTTCTGGGGCTTGTTACTGATTTGGTTTTGTCTGATTCTGTGTATATTTCGCCTAAGAATGAAATCGTCTGGTATTTGTCTTTCTCCTTCGGACTTACTTTGCTTAACGCAATCTCTCCAGTTTCATCCATGCAATCACAAATAGTAGAATTTCATGTTTAAATGTTGAGTAGTAGTCCACTGTGTATATGCCAAATCTTCTTTACCCAGTCTTCTGTTGTTGCACACTAAGGTTGCTTCCATAACTTGGCTACTGTAAGTAGCACTACAGTGAATATAGACATACATATATTCCTTAAAATTAGTGCTTTTGCATTCTTCACATCGATATCTAGGAGTAGAATTCCTGGATCATATGGTAGATCTATTTTTTTTTTTAGGATATCCTAATCTGAATTTTAAAATTCATTCATTTATTTATTTTTAATATATTCATTATATTATCCTTCATTTTTGCACAATGTATGGTTTCCCCATGAAATTCCCACCACCAATTCACCCCTGCACCATCACCCTTGTGTTCTTCCCACCCCTGTCCTGGTCCTTCCCCCCTCTTCCTCC